AGACATAAGCAGGAAGCTGGAAGGCAGTACTTACTGTTTCTCATCGTAGCTGCGATAAAATGGAATAGCTGAAATAACCCACAACCAGAAAGTATCTCTTTCTCACATCGCAGTGCTTGCAAATGCCATGGCTTCAAACTGTTTTTTTGTAAAACCCTCAGAATCGATTCCAGGAGGAGTAAATAATAGAAAAAAAGATAGCAGGGACATTTTTGCATACCGCACAAGCAAGTGCGTCACAACCTGCAACATTGGAACACATGTCAGAAAAATCTATAAACAAACTGAAAACAAATTATCAAAGGAGGAACATAGGAAAAATAAATCACCATGATCGAAAAGCTCTCCCAGGGGGCTAGAGGAATTTGTCCTTCTTGCTTGCTTCCCATCGACCGCATCGAATGTCTGATAAAAGCTCAAAAGGTATCAGGAAAAAAAAGACTTAAAACACCTTCACATGCAGATATAAAAGGAAGTTAAACTTTTGAAGAAGAAGTAAACCTGATACAAGAAGAGAAGTAAACCATGTGCGAAGTGAACCCATCGTGGAGGAGGAGAATCCAACTGAGGTGAATATATCTGAGACAAGTAAAGAAAAATGTCTTCAAAATCAAATCCATATGCAGAAAGCAGGCATATTTACCATCAAGAAAGTAACCAAATGCTTCAAGAAACTAAAGAACAAGACATCAAAGAATCGAGACTCACATAACCTAGCAGGGAAGAAGTGACAAGAAACATAAACCCCATAAGCGTTATCTGCGAAACAAAAACACACAAAGCCAGAAGTTTTTAACTCAAACGTAAAGACGATACCACATACAGCAAAATAACAAACAGGAATCACTTATACCATGTTTGGTCTGGAATGGTCCAAAGAGAAAAACGCATTCCTCCTTGGCACTACCAGACGCTTCTCTGCAATGCAACCAAAATTTTACAAACTTTTAAGGTTATATAAGAAGAAAGATTCTAGAATTTCAGATTTTGCGGATTCAAATTCATACCCTGAATGTTTCCCATGTCGTTTAATAGCGTAATAACAGTTTGAAGATAGAGGCTTATCAAGAACAGGAATGAACACAACTGGGTCACGAGTACTGTCATCTCCTCCGATATTGAATGTGACTGCTAGCTTAAGATTTTGCGGCAATGGCAAACCACTTAGAGAAGAATCCACCACCAACCACGAGCTGAAGCAACATGTAACCCGTGTCTGTGAGTCTTGGTCTTGGATTACCAAAATTCCAGAGTTGGGACCCTCAGGAGGAGGCTGTGTTAGCTCTGCTGGATTCCTCCGATACTCTGACAAACGCCTTGTGATGTACATTTTCACTAAATCGAGTTTGGGACTTGGAGAGAAACTTGATCCTATATTATAGACTAAACAACTCTGTAGAAGAGCAACTGACAAGGTGACTTAGGAAACTTCAAGGAAACTTGACTTGATCTCCATAAAGATCTTGGCCTACCCTAATGTCAGCTCTCATCAAGTGTCTATAAAATAGTATAAACAAAGTCTTCGCCTCTCTGTATATCATGATACCACTCTGCATCATGAAGATTCTGTCCACACCTTTTGCATCATCACTCAAACCAAAAAAAA